CACAACCTTGCGCTTGCCAGGCAGGCGTTTTTGCCGCTGAGCTAAATCCCCAGCCCCCTCGTGGGAGGCATTGTTATGAGCTCCAGGTCTTCAGCTGGACTCGTGCAGGACATTTGCATGAGATCCAAGCCCTCAGCTTGATTCCTTGGTCTTAGTGTGTAGACAGATTTCCTGTACTCTTTTGTGTATCATTCTTTGGGTGACTATTATAAAGTCATATAAAATATGCATCTATACTATGTTCCCTTGCAAAATAAGCCCCAAACCATAACAATTGGGATCATTCCCTAAACATCAGGCCCCCATCTCTGGCAGTCTAGGGCTTATATGGGATAAGCAAGCAGAACGGAGGCAAAAAGGCTTGTCAAGTGGGGATTGGTTCTTACAGTGTGCATTACAGTGACCAGCCGTTTCTAGGAGACAGAAGCAACTGGAACTGCAACAGGAACTATCACCTGGGCAACCGAGAAGCTGAAGTGTACTGGCTGGAGGGAGCATTTTCTCTTACACTGCAATTCTTTGTTTGAGTCAAGAAGAACCTAGAATACTTTTGACTGGAGAGTCATTTCTAAAGAAACTCCTCTATAACAAGCCTGCCTAAAATAGCTTGTTTATAAACAAGGTAACCTCCAGGCCAGAAAAATAAATAAATAAAAGGCACATTGCCATTAATCTCCCTCAGAATCCTCTCCCTTCACTTCTAGCACACTTACCCCATCATACTTGTCACTCTCTTTTTTTGTTCTTGCCTTATTTCTTTGTTTGCTCTTTTGAGACAGTCTTGCTCTGCAAGTCAGGCTGGGCTTGAACTCCCTACATAGCCCAGGCCGGCTTCAAACCCTCAGTGATCCTCCTGACTCAGCCTCCCGAGTGCTGGGGTCACAGGTATTCACCACCACGCTTCCATGCTTGCGGCTTTCTAAAGCAGTTTTGGAAATCCTTTTTTCTGCCTTTACTAGCAGTGGTCAAACGTCTGGTGAATGCTGCCGCCGAGCGCCATCCAGCGCAAAGGCAGCTGGTAAAAATATTCCACTGTCCTCATCCACCTCGGTCACCAGACCTGCTCTGTGGGACTTCTCATTCCTCCCTAAAGTCAAAGCGACCTTAGGAAGTGAATGTTTTGATTGAAGTCAGGCCACTGAGGCAGCCACGCCACGGCATCCAAAGACATAAAGGAGGCTCTCAGAACTGCTTCAGACAGGGGAAGGGAGGGAGGGGACGC